CTGCTGGAGCACTTCCTGTTGTATTTGGAACCTCATATGAAGCACTTTTTCACAGGGCTCACCTGACATCTGGTCAGGTATCCTCTTCTTCCTCAATCTCATTATTTGCTTTGTGATTACAATGATGCTAACATCTTTATTAACATGGAGTCATCTGATGTTATATGAAAAATTCTGCTCTTGTAGGTATTGCTGGTCCTTGGTGCAGCTGGTGGTGTTGGCCTTGCTGCTGTCCAGATTGGCAAGGTTTGCGATGCCACTGTTATTGCTGTTGCTCGGTACATCTCACATCATTCTACTCCTTCAACCATTTATTTCCCTTTTGAGCTTGTCATTATCCATTATTGAATCATTCTGCAAGAAGTTTTTTAATCTCAATTTACAATTACCCTCTCTCTCACGTTTGAGCTGTATCTTCAATCTCAGAGGAATGGAAAAGGTTCAATTTTTGAAATCCTTGGGTGTTGATCATGTGGTAGATTCGGGTAGTGAGAATGTAACTGCAAGTGTGAAGGAGTTTCTCAAGACAAGGAAGCTCAAAGGAGTTGATGTTCTTTATGATCCTGTTGGAGGCAAACTTACTAAAGAAAGTATGAAGCTCTTGAATTGGGGGGCACAAATTTTGGTAATTGGATTCGCAAGTGGGGAAATCCCTGTCATCCCCGCAAATATTGCTCTTGTTAAGGTACATGATTCCCTATTTTCCAATGCAAATAAAACAAGAGCGGTGGAGGGATACCTGATTCTTTTACTTCACTTCTCGGTTAAAGTTTCAATCTTATTCATACTTCTCTGCAAATTAATTTATACCTTAAAACAGTTTAAATAGAAAAAAATATCATCTTACACTTCTGATTTATACAAGGAAATCAGGATTCAACACCTTAGGCTCTTTTGTAAGTGTCTAGATCATGTAGGAATATAAAATGTTATAAACTGAAATGACCAGTGGTGGGAAGAGTGAAATTATTAGTAATGTTTAATTTCAATCCATGTTTGCTTTAGCAGATTTTGGAGTTCAGTTACTCTAAGCAGTATGTGAACCAGTAAACTAGAGGCTAAATGTTAAAATGTTAATCTTTCCATTCCTTGACTGTTAATCAAGTCAACAACTGAACCTACTTTAGAAGAAGCTATGGAATATTATTATTATACTTTTTGTTGACTCTTTACATCTGGATTGTGGTGTTGTGAAAGCTTTGTTTACTCTCTGTCACAATTGAAAAGATAGACCATGTGCAGCACTGGTTTCTATGGCTTGATTGGTTGTGAAATGTTTATTAATTCTCTTTTTACTCCATTGACTATGTTGTTGCTTGTTTCCCATGGTCCAGAACTGGACGGTGCATGGACTCTACTGGGGTAGCTACAAAATACATCAACCAGGTGTACTTGAAGGTTCTCTTAGAGAATTACTCTCCTGGATGGCAAAGGGCCTAATTACTGTCCACGTTTCTCATACTTACAGACTGTCAGAGGTCAGTGGCTACTTACACTCTTTCCATATTTCCCCACGTCATAGGTTCTCCTAAAACCATCAAGAAAAAGCTATGCGTGAATGGTGTATGAGCATAGATGTAGACATTAAGGAAGTAAGTAACTCAAAGTGGCTACAACATTTTGAAAGTCAAACTCCAACTCTAAGTGGTAGCGAAGTTCAGGGCCAACACTTTGGTTGAGCAGGATGCCTAGAAAAGCTGACAGGTTCTGTATTGTGTTGACTTAAGGAACTAAATAACGTCCAATCCAATTGTCACAGGGTACTCAGTTTTAACTGTATAGTTTGTGCACTCACTTCTTATCATCCAATGAATCTAGATAAGTTTCTGTCTGGCTATAATAGGATTGCAGTTAATTTTCTACATTCCTTTTCTGCACTTCGTGCATGTTTTACTAGGAAGCCTATTAATTGGTCACCCCAAGCAAGATACACTTTTTCAACTGGCTTCTTTTGAGTGGAAATTTACTGCCATATTAATCATGCAATTTCGACACACAAATGTAGATAAGATGAAGATATAACTACTATTGTGAATGGTTGTTGCTACAGTTTCTGCTTAATATGGTGGATCTGATGTTTTTTTATCATATGGTTGTTGACAGGCCAAGCTCGCCTTCTCCATGATTAAAGATAGGAAGGCAATTGGGAAGGTGATGCTTGTTTTGGATGATAAGAGAAGCTCAAGATCTAAACTGTAAGTCATTAAAGATTTACGGCGAGGATTTAAATCTTGCATGAGAGGATGTCATTTGTAAATCTTGCATTCCCATTTATTTTGTGAATTCACTGGCATCATAACAAGAAATGTCGAATATACTGTATCTTGCATATTTAGCTGTTTTACATACTGTATCTTGCATGTTGAACAAAATCAAGTCAGTGTGTATTATCAATTCCTAGCATTTGGATATCTTGATGTTTTTTACCTTCTGGTATGTGAAATGGAAATAGCAATATATCTAAAACCTCTATGATGCATAGTCACTCCACTAGAGAGCTCCCCCACCACCCCACAAAATCAAATATTGTGAAACCTCTGTAAATCTGATCAAGCTGTTGCTTTTCTTCAGAGGGGAAATTTTTATGACATTTGATAGAAAAAATTTGAAAGTGTTTCTTATAAGATACATATATTGTTAAAAAGAAAACATTTTATTGTAAAATTAACATTATATAAAGAATATCAAAAGTAATACAAAAGTAAAATTACTTGTGCTAAAACTTTTAAATGCCACCATAAAATTTTCTTTTAATTATTTCTCATATCCTGAAATATATATATATTTTAAATTTTTTAACTAATTTCATATACATTTATTTAATATAAAAATTAACACACTGATTATAGATTTAATAGTATTTTTAATGATTCAATTTAATTTCAATAGAACTCTTGTCTTATTGAGATTCCTATTACAATCCTTGTTTCTTTTAGTCTCTTTACATAACTGAATAAGATTGCTACATGAGTATGTCATATGTTGGAAAATTTTTGAAAGTTCATAATTTGCACTTCACAATCGAAGTAGAGTAATTGTTTTTTTTGCACTTCATAACATTAAATTTACTTTAAAGATAAAGGAATATAGAGAGTTGAACATAGTAAAATAAGAAATTAAAAATTTTTGTTAAAATTGTTCGTTTGAAAATTTTCTGAACTAATCGTAGGTTCTTCTCCTCATCAGAACAATAAGACTATTATGCTCATTGCAAAATGTATTGAACGGATGAAATGCAATGAAGGTATATCTTTTTAATCAGATGTTGGATCGATCATCTTTTTAATTCAGGATACATTCTGGAAAAATAAAACTTCTATTAAAGAAAAGCAAATGAAAGGCTTTCATAAAATTCTTGTAGAATCGAATCGATAGATCATGAATTAGTAATTGCATCTAATTTTCAAAAGAATTCAAATTGTTTCGAACTTCTTATATTTGGAATGGAATATTTACGAAATTTTTATGAATAAAATCAAACTTAATTTCATTGAGATTCATCTTTCTTATTTTTAAGCAATTCTTTAAGAGGGATTATATTAATTATATTTATCAATATAAATATAGCTACATTTATTAATATAATATAATATATTTACTAATATAAATATTTATACTAAATATATATATATATATATATTGTAGGAGGTTAGATTCGAACGAAAGATTGAATCTGAAGTCCTTTCGATTCACCTCTTTTTTCATACTAATCTGAACTTGAAAACATTTATATTTAATCGAATTTAAACAAAACATTTAAATGGGTTCTAATGCAAAATGTAATCCCCAATTGGAATTGAAAATGAAAAATTATTTATTCACTAAATTGGACAAAGTACAAATCCGATATTAATAAATTTATTACAGGTTATAAAATAACCAAATCACTTGTTCCTCCCACCAAAAACACTCATCATATAACACAGCCAACAAACCAAATTTTAACCCTATGTTTGAATTAAACTTCAAAGTTTTATGGAATTCGTTTACAAATTCACATTTCATTTTATTTAGTAGAGAAGTAGTAAAATTTTATCCGCTTAAAAAAATAAAGTAACTTCACACATACGTAATTTCTAATGAAATCTTAAAAGAACATATTCTAAATTCTATCAAAATCGATAAGATTTAAAACGTGTTCTTCAATTTTCATTTAAAATTTTTAAGTGACGTTGATTCTTTTTATAAGGAAATTCCATAAAAATTTTAAATTTATTCAAAACGTAATCAAAACGATATATTTGTTCAACGAACGAAAGAAAATACAAGAGTCAGGGAGACGATAAGGATTGTGGCGATCGAGTGAGGGAAATTCGCGGCTGCACCCGAGCCCTCTCCCAGAGGAGATGGAGCAGGAGAATGGTCAAGGTGTTCATGGCCTTCATGAGACTCTGCAACTGCAGCAAATATTGACAAGAAGATGATACAGAACAAAGCTAATGGAAGAAGGAGACTTCTCATTGTTGCCATTTTTTGCCAAATGATATATTGAATTGTGTGTGTGTATCTCTCACATTGGCTGGTTTTTATATAGGGCGTGTTTGGTTGGTTGAGAATAAAAATATCAAGGCTTAAATTTGTCAATCTCCAAATGAAGAATGAGTCATATTTTTCTAAAAATATATTTCATCTAATGATCTGGACATTCCCATAATTTCTTATATATTTTTTAACTTAAGCCAAAAATAAACCCACCATTTTAATATATATATATATATATATATAGGGTTTATGGTATTTGGGTATAATTTAATTTTTTTTAAAATACTAATTTAATCACCATTCATAAACTAAAATTTCCTTATATTTTTACATATTTTCAAGGTAATATTTTTTTTCCATTGTATTGTATTGTATTGTATTGTATGAGGATGACAAGAGAAGAAGTCAAAACGTGCCCTCCTCAAATGCTATAATTTGAGAATTGAATGATTTCATGCCATGTCAATATTCTAATTGTAGCTGGCCGGCCAGTTCAATTGTTGTACTTGGTACTACCATCTTTCCCATTGTTAGTACAATTGCCCAAAGTCCTCCAAATATATATATATATATATATATGTATGTATATATGTATGCATATATATTTATTATTAATGTTGCCATTGACCAAAATTATTTATTTGTGTTGACATGAAAATGAAATTTCTAATTGGACCAATTAAATTTATATGGCAGATTAACTACTATTTTATTTTTTATTTTCTATTTTTTCTTAGAAATTTAAGATTAAATAATTAAAAAAATTAGTAAAAATTTATAAGATAATAATTTAAATAATAATATAAGATACACTAAATCATAGATTATAGAGTTTGAAACTTTGATTTACAATAAAAAATTACTAGAAAAAAAGTCTTCCATGAAGTTCTTGTGGCTAGAAAAAATATTTGTGCATTTTAAAAGTTGGTTCATAAATTTAAGTTGTTGATTGATTCAAATAAGATAAAATTCTTGAAGTTAGGAGAAACATTTGCGAATTTTAAAGATTCGTTCATAAATTTACGTGGTAGATTGATTCAAATGGTTTACAAATTATTATCTATTTAGTCTCTAATTTAAATTAAAAAATTTATATGAATGAGATCTTACTAATATTAATATAATATATTACATTAAAATTCTACAGTTCAATACTATTTAATTAATATTATTATTTTATATAGATGTGATCGTATTAACGTCAGTGCATTAAATTCCATCGAAATTCTATAATTAAAATTTGAAACTAAACACAACAACAATACGAATTAACTAGACGGGTTGGTGATTTCTTCTCCGAGTGTTGATTGCTCTTGATGCCATAGCTCTCAAGTTAGCTCTTGCCAATTGAAGAGAGCTTCTCCTAGATTGAGATTGCTCCTCAAAAGCATTCAAAAACTCTTCTCTTTGCAATCTAAAAGCCAATGCTGCATCTTCGTCTTGGCTCGGTCTTTCTCTCCTTCTCCCGCTCCCTACTGCTAATAATCGCGAAATGTCCTCTCTCTCGAACCTACCACTCAATCTAGATTCCTCATTTTCATTCAACTCTCCTCTTCTTCTCCCCCTTGATGAGTCTTGACTCCGCAAACTTCTTCGAGGATTCCCATCATGTCCTCTTTCTTCCCTCTTAGGCTCACCACCTTCTTGGCTGCTTGAAGCAGCCTTTCTTGCCTCAACTTCTTGAGGAAACAGAAGCTGTATTGTGTTCCAAAGAACAGTGTTCACAGTGCAACATAATCTTCCATTACTGCAAATACTCAAAACACCTCAGAGATTGTGTTGTACAATTTGAAAATTAATTAGAAAGTTAGCTTGGAAAATAAAAAATTTTTATAACTTGCTAAAGAAATAATCCCAATCATGCACATAATAATCACACAAACTAAAGAATTTAGAAGAAAAAATACAATATTTACTTGGTTCGGTAAATATGTCTACATCCGCAGATAAGATAAAGAAATTTTTTTTTCAGTACTGTGAAAAGCAAAGAGTACAATCACCAATTAATTTATAAATTCTAATATGCCCAAAGTACTAAGGCTTTTTCAAACTAAATCAAACTGAATTAATATGATCTAAATCAAGTCAAACCCAAATTCATAATGGGAAAAAGTTGAGTTGAATTTTACCTTATTAGTTGCCTGCACTTTGGACATCTTTTTCCACATTTATCAGCAGCAGACCTCAAACATTTCTTACAGAAACTACAATAGGGAAAGAACTAGTCAGGCCTAATTAATCAAGTATTTGGCTCAAAAATAATATATTTGATCAGACTGTGATATTGGTTGAATTGGTTTGATTTGATTCCAAATAGTGTTCGGAAGGAAGAATTAAGAGACTTGTTCAATGGAAAAAGATGGGTTCAAAGCAACTATGGGTTAGGATTTACCTGTGTCCACAAGTAGTGGTACTTGGTTCAAAGCAAATCTCCAAACAAATCTGACAAAAGTACATTAATCCCAGTAAACATAATGAGCAAACTGTTAGGAATTCAGAGGAAATTTAAGGAATAAGAATATGCACAACGAGAAATTAGCAAATATATAACAAGTATGCCTTGACGTAATATCACATTCATTGGCATATGAGTTATGAACTATGGTTTACAGTTTGTTGGGAATAAACTGGATTATTGCAGGATCGGTTAGGGATGAGATTTGGGCTTGAGAAGGAATCAGTAAAGGGAGGAAAATTGTACTGACTATATTTTGGGTAATTTGGAAAAGATCGAATAGTAGAGCTTTTGAGTAGATAGAAAGAGGAGATAACTAAAATTCGAAACAGAGAACTACAATTTGGGTTCTTTGGTTTTATGACATAATACTTATAGTATGAAGGATTTTGGGAATTTTCTAAATATATTCACTGATTACAAAGTATACTTACCATACTTTTTATTAAAAAAAAAAAATGTAATATTGCATTTATACGAAATTGCTGGATAAAAATCTTATTTCATAAACTCTCAAACTCATATTTCTCTATGCATAATATATTATGTTTTACTCTATATAAATAATGACTCCCACATAACATAAACCCAGATAGCTTTGTATCAACCAGACTAATAAAACATAGAGGAATATGACCAATCTAGCAAAATTTTGCTTGTATCCATGGAAAAATTTACCATATAAAAAACCCATTTAGCTTTTGATGAATCAAACTCAGAAAATAATACCGAAAAATATGAACAATTTGAGAGATCCTTACAGCGCAAGAAAGCTCTTCTCTGAGTTTATCCATGCATGGAAGAGCCAAATTTGAGCAAGAAACGCCAGAATTCTTCTCTTTCAATTCCTTTTCTCCTACTTCCCTTTTTTCTTCTTTCACAACACTTTCTGTTTCTGTATTGCTCTTCCCTCTCTCTGTCCAATTTTTACCATCAATGATTTAGAGTATACATGATTTTTCTGTCAAAATCAGAAGTAAAGAGAAAATCAATACCTTCTTTTACAGATTCTTCTTCTTCTAAGTCAAGAACAGGAAGAGGGATTGTAGTAGGACTGCTTCTCTGAGCCCTGCGTTTTCTGCAACACATTTAGAGAGAAAAAAAAATGAACAAAACAAATACTCCAAGAGAATTTTCAGGATTAGGGTTAATATTTTTTTCCCTTACATTTTCCCAGCAACCAAACAGTCAATTGAAAACAAAATCCTACAAGGACGAATCTTTACTTTCTTGAATTAGTGGAAGGCGGAGTCTTGAACTGCAAATCCGATCGTTTTTTGTGCTTAACATTTCGATCAGGCGTGTCTTCAACAACGAGGCTAGCAATCAATAGAGCTTCCTCATCCCAACCAGCCATGGCGGCCACAGATTTGAATCTGGGACTGAACAGATTCTCCATATCTTGGCTGTTCTCTACCGGATTTGCTTGCTTTGAATAGGCTTGTGCGCTCTTCTTCGTCTCTTCTCTCACCATTTTCGAATTTTCTTCTTCCTGGTGCGGGAAAATAGAGAGGAGAAAGAAACCCTTCTTCTTCTTGAGAACGAATGATTATAGGAGAAAGAGAAACAACGGCATTATCTGGCTCAACGGTCGAATTCTTTTTAAATTTGATTGATACTTCATTAACGGCTATATCCCTGTGTTATGGTTATCCAGTACGTGCTCGACCATCAACTTCTGGTGAACCCTCGATCGATCACCGTCCGTATTACTTAGTTTTGGGCCTTCGTGAGAAGTAAGAGAGGGCCCATATTAAGTGAAGCAGCAGTCCAATGTATCGGAATTGACTTTTTTTCTTTCTTTTTTTTTTTTATTAAGCTGTTAAATCTAATTTTAATATTAATTTTTTCTTAATATCCTTCTATGTAATAATAAATTTATCATAAAATTATTTAATATTTTATTTAAATTATAAAATTATATAAATAAAGATGAAATTAAATAAGATAGTTAATTTAATAAACAAAATGCTAGAAACTTATTAATTGACTAATTAAGTTGATTGTCGTTTTTTTTTTCCCTATATTACCATAATACCATTTTACTTACAACAATATCTTTAATATTTATTTGAATTATGTAACTCTATAAATAAATTAAAAACATAGACTTTTAATAAATCAAATTATTCTAAAATTAATAAGTATAATGAATAATTAATAATCTATATTTTATTTAATTTATTATTAATTATATAATTTAATAATAATATAACGGTAACTTACATCTAGACTCAAGAATAGAAAACAAAAATGGTTATCATGGTTTGCTTGAGTTTGTTATTTGAGTATTAATACAAAGAGAAGAAAAAACATATATACAAACTTCACTAACTCATCTTTGCTTGTTCTTCCTCCTCTTCCCACGGCAAACGGTGCGTTTTAGCATCACTGAACATCTCCATCACCCTATCTCTAAGTCCAGTGTCCCTCACCTCACAGAACCGGCCAGCCCAGTCCGGCGGCTCAACGGCCCGAGTCCCCAGCCCGGGAACCCGATCCTTAGAACTTTCGTTCTCCTCATTCTGCCAATCCACCACGTACGTAGCTACCCTCCTATAGAACTTCTCCCTGAAAACCTCCCAAACCTGGTATTTGTAATGGTTAACCACCATCAACTCTTTGTCCACGTTTAAGGACACGTAACCTTCGCTCAGGTGAAAATGATGAACTATATTTATCAAGCTCGTGTTCATGGCTTCCGGTTTCACTATACTCTTGTGTCTCTCCGGCCTCTGTAGCCGGCAAGTGTACCCTACTGTCACTCCTTCTGGGGGGATTCTCGTAAGATCCGATGGTCCGAAACTGTGGCACGAACCGCGCAGCTCGCCGACGTTAAACGACGTCGTGGCAGTCTGGTTTCTGATCACGTCTTGGATAGTCGGTAAATCCGGTGTTGGTAGGTGGAAGTACTCGTCGACGTCGATGAACCCGACCCATTCGCACAATTCACGAGCTCGTATGGCGCAGTGGGCGAACCCGGCTTCTTGGGTCTTGACCCATGGCCATACGTGTCGGGTTATGCGGTGATTACTCTTTGATAACTCGTCGATCACATCGTTAATCTCGTCTTCGCTGTTGTTGTCGTAGATGAACCAGCGCTGGACTCCGATTCGGCCATGGTACATGACCCATTCCTTCAAGAATCTAGCTCCGTTTCGTAGCATTGTGCAGACGCAGATCTCGTGCTCTTTTCGGGCCGAATCCGGATGCGGACACGCCCGACCGATCATCCTCGGGCGGGCTATGGAGGGTAATGTTCCACTATCTCCGTTCCCTTTCACTCTTACGGAGACTTTGATCGAATTGTTGTTGACTCTTTGTTGACCGTTCAACAGGCTCATGGGAGTTTTGCACCGTACAATCTCCTGTGCAACGGAGACACCCTCTGATCTTAGCAGCAACTTGGGCTTAGTGAAGTCCCAGCCGTACACGCACTCATATCTCGAAGCATTGGAGAGTTTCTCTGGCCGTATATTCAGTCCCTTCACGAAAACTATCGTGGTACCGTCGCAGTCGATCAAGGCCTCGTACACGAGGAGGTCCCACTTGTGGGCGGGCCCGACGTCAGCGATGTGTGAGTTTGGTTTCGTGGCTAGGGACACGGTGAAGCCACGTGGAGCGACCGGGCACCGTACGATCTGAACTTCCAGATCCTTCATGTCGACTCGAGATGGCGGCTGTTTGAGCTGGGAGGATGAGCAGTTAGACGAGGAATAAACACAGTGAAGATCCTCTTTCGTAAATAAACGAGCCGGCGAAGGGTATTTTAGGAAAATCAGAATCTGATCGGGAAACATAATCGTCTCATAAACTGGAATCGCCGCCGATGATACCAAATACTCGGCCGCGACTGCCTCCACCGCCGGAGTCCGCCACGTGGACGCAAGCACAGGACGAAACGTTTCTGCTTTCAAAATATTTTAAAATTTATTACTTCCGAATCCATGAAAATGGAAACTAGATTCAACTTAATTTTGAAAAAAGCAATTAGAAGAAATCCAGATATTTATTAATTACGAAAATTAAAAAGTAATTAAAATTTTTAAAAAAAAAAATACCTCCAAAGAAGATGCGAAAAGTGGAGACGAACAAAGAAGCGGATAGCAAGACGCAGGAGAAAACGGTGAAGAGAGTGCACCAGAAGAACCTGCTCCATGAAACGACGTCGCGCTTCCTACGGTTCTTCATCGCCTCCGTCGACTAATATTTACAGTACTTCAGTTCAGTCCGTCGCCGTCACGGCCGCTGCTTTGCACAACAAGAAGAACGGTAGATGACAACACCATTAATATCTCTTCTTCTTTCTTCTTCTCCTGCTCATTCTTCTGGTGCGGTAAAATTCTGCGCCATTTATCGACCTGTTGCTTCCTCTGTTTCTTCCTGCTACTCGAAAATTTCAAGGAAAGTTGGGAGAGAACGATAGAGGGAGGAAGACGGGGAAGTGAGAGAGGGAAAGTCGGGAGTGTTGTTTCACTATTTTGGCGGAAGAGGAAGGTGGGCGATGATCTAAATGAGATATGATGTGATCTGATGGTGACGATCGTCGCAGTTTCGACCGTTCAGGTCGTTTTAATATGCGATTCACTACTATTTTTGCTATGATCTCCTGCGGAACTTCCCACGTGTTATTAACTCCCTGCCAATCAGCTCCCGCCATATCATCTCAATGGAAAATCATTATGCATGCATTTTATTTGTCTCCTAATTGTTATTGTAACAAATTTATTATTTGGATTAGAACTCAATAAGTTTTAAATACTTCCAACTTTCAATAACACGATTATTTTATATTTAAAAGTTTTTATATTTTATTTAAATATCATAAATTTAAATTTTATTAAAAATATATAATTTATTATTTTATAAATATATTATATATTTATCAGTGATTGACTTAATTTTTAATTTAATTAAATTTAAGATTTAACCTATTAATATTTTAGTAGAAGTGTAATTATATAATTAAGTATAAATAAATTTATTATGTTTTTAGATATATGAACATTCTATAATTGTTAAATTTTTTTAATTTAGATGGACATAATAAGTTAAAAATTTAAACTAATATTTTTTAATTTTAATAATAATAATGAGTTAAAAATTTATTACATCTTGTTGGGATAGGCGTGGAATCTTAACGTGGACGCTGTTGCATCCGATCAAATACCTTGCGTGTTAGTTTGGTGCAATTCTTTTTAAAGGCGATAGTATCTTGGAAGGAGTGGGGTCCACTTATTCTACCGGCAATGTGGGTCCTACACATATAAGCATACATTCTCCGTATAGTTCCACGTCATCTGTCAGCTTGCTTTGTCGCGGTAGGGTCCATGGGAGAGTATATATCCCCAAAAATATGAAAATACAAACGTATACTATAAGAAGCTTTTTTTTAATCAAAACTCTTCTCTTCTAATAATTAGGTTTGGGGTACTTTACAATGCTTAAAAAGGATGTATACATATATATATATATACACACACACACATCTTATCGACTATATTTATTATATATTTTATTTTTTACTCAATTATGAAAAATAAGTTAAACTATAAAAATAATTACAAACACAATCTTTTATATTATAAAAAATAACTATAAAAAGAAAGTCTTTATTTAAATAGTAAAAAACATATAACACGTAAATTAATTTATTACACTAATAATTACTTATTATTCATTTAAATTTTTATATATTTATTTGAAATTTTGTTATTTTTATATTATTTTATTTACATAGATAATATTTATATTATATTTTATATTATTATAAGAAATTATATTTTACATGTAGTATATGTCACGAATTTAATATATTAAAAATTTATTAGAATAAATTGCAATATTTGCTCATAATCTATCGAATTCCATTATATAAATTTTCAAATTTTATAGATTCAATTAAAAATAAATTAAAAACTCAAGATTCCATTATGGTTTCTTTATAATTTAGTCAATCAATTGTGTAATTGAACTCAAAAAAAAATCTAATAAATTGAATATAATCAATTTTTGTTTTTAATGTATTTTACATTAGTTGATTGAGCATTAAAATACATATAACATTAAATTCTTAGTTGGGAATCAAATTAAATTCAATGTGAATTTCTCAAAATGTGTTAATGATATAGTTGGAAGTTAATGACATGCATAAAAGAGGACTAGGAGCATTAATTATTTTTTATTAATTGGTCTAATTGGTATTAGTTGTGACTTCACTTATGCTCTAGCCATGAAAATAATAGATTATATATATACATATATATACACACACAACACATACACAAGTTGCTTTAATTTTAAATTAAATATGAATATTAAAAAAAATAAATTATAAATTGAATGCATAAGTGAAATAATAGAGTTAGAGTTTACATTCTTTACACAATAATTTAGAATATCCAATATGGTTATGGGAATAATCTTTTTAAAAGAATAAATAAAAAATAAAAAAATAAATGAAAAGTAAGCAATTAACTGTCCTACAACAACCTTCACTAGCATTTGAAGGAAGTTCGGGTGGTGAACTATTCACAACTGCCTTGTTGATCGAGATCTAAATTTTGATTCTCTTGATCTAAAATGGTTAATGAAATGGTGAACTATACTAGTTCAGTAAGAATATCATATTACTCACCGATACAGAAATGAATGTTGGTAAAAATTATAAAACAACTAATAGAGCTCTTAATTTAAGCAAATTTATTTATCATATATAAAATCATTTATTACATACTTACCGTAGTGAGATTTTCAAAACTGACATGTAGAGATAATGATACAAATAATATCATAATCTCATATTCAATTAAACAGAACAATAATTTTCTCCTTTTATCTGCCTACTAGTATCTATGGAGGTCTATAGGGATGTCTCCATTTACGCTTGAAACCTTTATTCAACATTGTCAACTAACTGACCGTCTCCATATCTCGTCTGGTATGAGTGCCAAAATATCATTCCTCAATACCCCGTCCAATATGACGATGAAACGGAACGTCCACATACTTTGTCCAGTATGAGCGCCAAAATACCAACCTTCGATACCCTATCCGATATGAGACAATATTCACGACAGGGTTCTCTATATATCTGGTCTGTTTATTATCTCCCAAGATATCCAGTAATGTTACCATTCATTCATTCACTTAATCAAGTAATTTTTCGTTTATATTTAATTTTTAATTTCATAATTTAACTGTAAGTCATGCAAAACAAGCAATACATGCATTAAGGAAATACAACTGAATCATCTTACCGATTTTAGTGTATTATTATACATTTAAAACTATAAAATCAATAAATCAGTTTAAAACATAGCAAACAGTAATAAATAACCGGTTCTGCCTCCATTAATAACATGTAATTAATTATTGAAAAATTTTAAATTACGTAAAATACTGTATTATTTATAATTAAACTTCAATTTCATAACAGAGAATAAGATGATGGATTATTACTCGAATTAGCGTCCAAAATGCTAAACTTTTAGCTGCGCCTATTGGTCCCCGGATTTTCTGAATTTTCTTTCGAATATTAAAACACGCTTTAAGTACCTAGAAATACCTTAAAAAAATTCAAAATTAGTGTTAAAAATCTTTT